TTAGTTCGTTTTTTTATTATCTTTCATTAATAAATTCGTGAGTTTATTTTCTTTATTATTTGGTGGATTCCAAATTACTTGCTTTTAAGATTTTCGCTTGAATTCATTTCTTTCGCTGCGTCAAGTGGCCCATCTCTATATCTTTGATTCATAAACATAGGTGATGTACCAATTACTAGGGCGGATTTAGATGCAACAAACGGACGGATTGACAATCTCACTACCCAAATCAAAGAAATTCGTCAATTGCTTCTACGGGTTGCTGAAAACAATGGGCAGAATGAACAACGAGCAATCAATAATGAGCGAGTGGCTGAGCCTGTAGTTCGAAAAGAAAATAATAGAAGGCACGTAGTAGAAGACAATGAATCAGAGTCAGAGAAGGAGATCGAAGTACCGCCGCATCATCCTAATCGTCAAAATTGAAATACCTTTGATGATTATTGGATCAAAGTAGACATTCCTCTGTTCTTTGGAAACATGAAGATCTAGGACTTCTTGGATTGGTTGGTGGAGGTTGAGAGATTCTTTGAAATTATGGATGTTTTAGAGGACAAGATGGTTAAGATGGTGGCATTACGTTTGAAATCTGCGGTAGTAGTATGGTGGGATCAATTGTAGAATGCTCGAAGGAGACAGGGAAAGAGTCGGATTCGAACTTGGAGAAATATGAAGTAGTTTTTGATGGATCGATTTTTACCTAACAGATTTTATATTGAATGTACCTAGGATGCACACAGGGGAATCGTACAGTGTCGGACTACACCAATGAATTTATGCGATTGGTGGAACAGAATAATTTGTCAGAATCTGAAAATCGAAAGGTAGCCAGGTATACCAGTGGTTTTAAGGTGGCCATTCAAGATAGGATTGGGATGCAGAATATTTGGACGTTGCAGGAAGCCATTAACATGGCGATGAAAGCGAAGATGATGGAATCTGATAAGAGGATGATTTCATACAGAAGGCTCTTACCTACCGAATCATCATCATCCACCCCTTTAGACAAAGGAAAGGCCCCACAACAAGCCCCAGTCAATCCTAACAGGAGTAAAGTTGACAACAATGGTCGGTTTGGGAATAGAAGTCAGACTCGGGGAGCACCTCAGAATGCAAATTTGTATGCTAAGCCCACGGGAGAAATTTGCTATAGATGTCAAAAGCCTGGGCATTGTTCCAATAACTGTCTTGAGAGAAAGCAGGTCAATTTGGTGGAACCGAAGACAGTAGATGAGGAGGAAGATACTGAAGTGAAGGATGAGTATGCTGGAGTAGAGTTTGCTGTGGAGGAAGGAGTAGAAAGACTCACTTTAGTACTGCAACGAATCTTTTTATCACCTAAGGAGGAGTGATAATGTCATTGCATCTTTCGTTCACTTTGTTCTATCAAGAATAAAGTGTGTGAAGTGATTGTGGATAATGGAAGTTGTGAAAACTTTGTGTCGAAAAAGTTGGTGAATTTGTTGAAAACTACCAGTTGAAAGCCATCCTAAACCGTATTCACTTGGTTGGGTAAAGAGAGGTCCTTCTGTTCAAGTTGCTGAAACTTGCAAAGCACCCATTTCCATTGGTAAGCATTATAAGGATGAAATTATGTGTGATATCATAGACATGGATGCTTGCCATATCCTATTAGGTCGTCCATGGTAGTTTGATGTGGATTCAACTCTCAAAGGGCGTGATAATATAGTACTCTTTTCTTGGGGCAGTCATAAGATTGCTATGATTTCTCTCAAATAGACGGAGAAGTCTACACATCAACGAACTGAGAGTTTCCTTACACTTACAAATAATGAGAAGGAGATTACGGAGTCTGTAAGAAAATCTGATTGCTTCTATCCAGTTGTAGTTAAAGGGCTTTTTACAGCAAATAAAGAAGATGAGAGTGTTCTTCCCGAGGTGCAGGAAATATTAACAGAATTTGAAGATTTTGCTTCCGATGAATTGCCGAATGAGTTACCTCCTATTAGGAATATTCAACACCATATTGAATTGGTACTTGGAGCTAGCCTTCCAAATTTGCCTCAGTACCGAATGAGTCCGAAAGAGAATGAGATTCTAAGGGAGCAAATTGAAGAGCTGTTGAAAAAGGGGTTCATAAGAGAGAGTATAAGTCCGTGTGCAGTACCAGTCCTTCTAGTGCCAAAGAAGGATGGAAAGTGGCGTATGTGTGTTGACAATCGTGCCATCAACAAGATAACAGTAAAGTATAGGTTTCCCATTCACGGTTGGAGGATATGCCAGATATGCTTGGAGGTTCTAAGGTCTTCTCGAAAATAGATCTCTGCAATGGCTATCACCAGATCCGTATTAAGCCAGGGGATGAATGGAAGACTGACTTCAAGAGTAAGGACGGACTTTATGAATGGTTGGTGATGCCATTCGGACTTTCAAATGCACTAGTACTTTCATGAGGATGATGAACCAAATTCTCCGTCCTTTTATTGGGTCTTTTGTTGTGGTGTATTTCGATTATATCCTTATTTACAGCAAGTCTAAGGTAGATCATCTAACTCACTTGAGGCAGGTCCTGGAGGTTTTGAAGGAAAATCAATTGTACATCAACTTGAAGAAGTGTACATTCTGCACATCTAAGCTATTATTTTTAGGCTTTGTGGTAGGTGAAGATGGTCTACATGTAGATGAAGAGAATACAAAAGCAATTCGAAATTGGCCAACACCAAAGTCAGTTTCTAAAGTAAGGAGTTTTCATGGGTTAGCAACTTTCTACAGACGATTCATCAGGCATTTCAGAACTATCGTGGCACCTCTCACAGAATGTTTGAAGAAAGGAGGTTCAACTGGGGAGAGGAACAAGATAAAAACTTCGCCTTCATCAAAGAAAAGTTGTGCACAGCTCTGGTATTAGCCTTGCCAAGCTTCGAGAAGATCTTTGAGGTGGAGTGTGATGCTAGTAGTATTGGTATCAGGGCTATCCTTTCTCAAGAGAAGAGACCCGTGGTTTTCTTTTTTGAAAAGTTAAGCGATGCCAGGCAGAAGTGGAGTACCTATGATCAAGAATTCTATGTAGTTGTTAGGGCTTTAAAGCAGTGGGAACACTACCTAGTATAGAATGAGTTTGTGTTGTTCACTAATCACCAAGCCTTGAAATTCATTTATAGTCAGAAACACATCAGCAGGATGCATGCTCGGTGGGTGACTTTTCTTCAGAAATTTCCTTTTGTAATTAAGCATAAATCTGGAAGTACCAATAGAGTTGCAGATGCACTGAGTCGGCGAGCTTCCTTATTGATCACATTATCACAATAAATTGTTGGGTTTGAGTGCTTGAAAGAGCTGTATGCAGATGATCCTGACTTTAAGGAGATTTGGAATAAGTGTGTGAATCGGGAATCAATGGTGGATTTCTATATTAGTGAAGGGTATTTATTCAAAGGCAACCAACTTTATATTCATGTTTCATCTCTACATGAAAAATTGATTCGAGATCTACATGGTAGAGGTCTAAGTGGACACTTGGGGCGTGACAAGACAATAACCAGTTTGGAGGCTAGGTATTATTGGCCACAGTTGAAACGGGATGTTGGAATTCTAGTTAGAAAGTGTTATACTTGTCAGGTATCAAAGGGTCAAGTACAGAATACTGGGTTGTACATGCCACTTCCTGTCCCTCAGGGCATATGGCAAGATCTGGCTATGGACTTTGTTTTGGGATTACCTCGTACTTAACGGGGGGTAGATTCTGTTTTTGTGGTGGTTGACAGGTTTTCGAAAATAGCGCACTTCATAACTTGTCGGAAGACTTCAGATGCATCACATATTGCTAAACTATTTTTCAGGGAGATTGTTAGATTACATAGAATTTCCAAGTCTATCACATCAGACCGGGATACAAAATTTTTGGGCCACTTTTGGATTATCTTATGGAAGTTGTTTGAAACCAATTTGAATCGAAGCAGCACTGCCCATCCTCAAACTGATGGACAGACTGAGGTTACTAACTGTACTTTTTGAAACATGGTTCGAAGTATTTGTGGAGATAAACCTAAACAGTGGGATCTTGCACTACCTCAAGTGGAGTTCGTGTACAATAGTGCAGTTCATATTGCTACAGGCAAGTTTCCGTTTGCTATTGTGTATACAGAGGTACCTTACCATGTGATGGATTTGGTGAAATTGCCTAAAGGTAATAATAAAAGTGTTGCTGCTGAACATCTAGCAGAGGAAGTGATAGTAGTTCGTGATGAGGTAAAATAGAAGTTAGAGAGAACTAATACAAAGTATAAGGCAGCAGCAGATTCACATAGACGAGATAAACAATTTCAGGAAGGGGACTCAGTGATGGTTTTTTTGAGAAAAGAGAGATTTCCCAATGATACTTAAAATAAGCTGAAACCAAGAAAATATGGGTCATTCAAAGTGCTTAAACGGATTAACAACAATGCATACATTATTGATTTGCCAGAGTCTATGGGTATTTCTCGTACATTCAATGTGGCAGATTTGTATGAGTTCCATAAAGATGATAAGCCTTTATATTCAGATTATAACTTGGGGTCAAGTTCTTCGGAGGTGGAAGGAATTGATGTAGGACATAACGGATATATTGAAAAAAGAGTACTAGTAGAAATAAATCATCTTGATTCCGTATCGGTTCCATAAAACCATTTTGGAAGTAGAACAATGAGGGAAACAATACTCACCGCTACGCCATGTCGTACATTGAATTTTGGCCGTTCGAATTCGTTTAGGTCTCGAAAACTGATTTTTAAAGTTTTAACGCTATTTTTGTCAATTCATTTATTTTTGTTATTTTTACAATTATAGTTTGATTAAACTTCTTTTTCATTACTTTTAGTTGTTTTAAACTACGTTTCTATATAAACCCTTATAAATAAGGACTTAATTCTTTTTTATTATTATTATTTTTTATTAATAAATTTATGAGTTTATTCTCTTTATTATTTGGTGGATTCCAAATTGCTTGTTTTTAAAATTTTCGCTTGAATTCTTTTCTTTCGCTGCGTCATGAAGCCTCATTTACATGTGAAAATTCCCATATTAATAGAGCAGCTAAGATTTGTACATAAATACGAATTTTATAGTTAATTTTACAACATTATGAATAAACAACATGCAAGAACCTCCTACAACTGCCTCAAAACTACCTTTATGGACATGTAACCAAGTTCTTCCTCGGATGAAACATACAAACTGGGATAAAACTTGATCTGTAAGCATGTAAAGAGATACGCATGTTTTCTACTGCTAGAGATTAGAGAAGCTTTAAATATGATTAATGTAAACATCTAAGTAGACATGTCGACCTCCTGACATCGTATCAAACCAGCAGCCCCTGCTATATTAATGTAAACATCTAAGTAGACATGTCGACCTCCTGACATCGTATCAAACCAGCAGCCCCTCCATAGCAGAGCCACCTCTCACTGCCTTTATTCATATTCCATCTCACTTTATGCATGGCCACAATTTTTGGAGGGAAAACCTCAATCTCATGCCGCATCTGTCCTTTGTCACTTCGTTCCCCTGGGAAATTTCCCATGTCGTCTCCAGATATTTGAGCTTGCGGATCGGCTTTCAACTTATTCTTATCGCTCTTTTTTGATTTTGCTGCTGGCTTACTCTGCTGGGCAATGATGCATGGGTTGTTGGGTTCAAGTTCAGTTCCAGGATCATTTCCATAGCATAGAGCTGCAATAGATGGAGTTGAACATGGTCATGAAAGAGAAATCTAACAGACTTTGCCCAACTGAATGATAAAAACAAGGCACTAACAAATTTCTCATGAAATATCTTCCACTAGCCACATCATTATTTTTATTAAGAGTAATGTTATTTAGCCCAACTGGGGTTATAATCTCATTCGCTAATATGACATTAAATGATAAGTATAATTAAATAAATCATTTAATTCCACCTTTCATTTTGTCTATCACCACCACAGACGGGTTATAACCCTAGTGGGGCTCAATAGTGTTCTACTCTTCTATTAAATCAGCGGAAGTGCCTAAACTAAAATATAATTGGAAACAAAAGTTCAGCATATAGGCCCTGTTTGGCCTCCATTTTTGGAAATGAAAATGGGTGGAATAGTGTTTTTTTGAAAAATGAGTGGTTGAGAAAAAGTTTTCGATTTACATAAAATATTATAAAAGATTATGTGGTTGAAGATAGGAAAGAGAAAAATGAAATGTAATGGAATGAAAATTAATGAGATTCAAATGGGGGCTAAGTTGGGTGACAAACAGTTTTTGTAACCCCAAAACTGAACATTCATTGACATCATAAATATAATCACCTAAAGTTTTTTCGTCTGAAGCTTGACATATGGCTGTTTGCTCCTTTTCTACTTCCTCCTGATTTAATAAAGCCAAGGGCCCACTTTTTATTCTTGGGGCATCATCAGCCGACACACCGAGGGACTTCTTCATTGGGACCGGAGTGTTGGTCAAAGGACTAACCACGGTAAGAGTAGATTCCTCTTCCATCAACGATCCAGAGAGAAAATGAAGGGGCCGATTTCGCGAAGGATCTTTCTCCACTGCTCTAGTTGTCAGCTGTTTACAACAAAAGTTATAAAAGACGTAAAAGTTACTATCAGAGTAGTAGAAGAGTTATGCAATAGCTGATCGTTTTCAAGGGAGATAAACTAACGGAACAGCTCACATCCAGTATATGAAACGAGGCCAGGAATGCCAACTCCCAAACTATGGTCCAATTCTAAATATGTTTTTATCAAATTTGATGGGGAAAAAAAATTCAAGTTTATTTTCCAAGATCGAGGAGTATGCCAGATGTATAAATCAGTGAAAAATTAAATGGAAATGAGATTGAGGACATATATAATAAGGTTACTAAGCATTTAGCAACAACACCTTCAGATGTTTAAATGCTTAATTGAGAAAGGAAATGTAATATTTTCCTGTAGGTCGATGCTGTTTTTGGAGAATGGATTTGACAGAATTTTACTTGCTAACATGATTCTGCAGTCTTGGCCGCACTTATCAATAGAATTGTGCAAACAGAACTTCAAACGCAGAAACTTACCACTATTTCTTTAAATAATTGAAATAGAAGTTCAAATTAAGACATAAATTTATATTTAAAAGAAAAATAAAAATGAAATTTCACTGTAATAATTAAAAAATAATAATAATAAAAAAATTCAGATAACAACAATTGCTCACCTGGAAACGAAGGGCAGTTCCATCCTCACCACAATAAGCAACCATACCTAAAATTCATTGAATCAAGGAAGAAAAAGAGCATAAGCTGACTACAAAGATGGAACATTGCTGCAAATAGGAAAGTCTAAAGAAAAGATGAAAAATAAGGAGTCTAATTTTGCATATAAAATGAGAGCAAATATCTCCCTCTTTCAAAATAAATCCACATACTTGTGCATAATAAGTACCAATCTAGCTATATATTTAGCCAATTTCAAAACCTTCCTCCCTCTCAAGTTCCTCACCCACCTATTTCTCACAAACCCCCAACCACTTGCACACAAAAGATGAAGGGGGAAAAAGGACAATTGTAGAAATAACAAAATAAACATAATTGGAAACAAGCCTCCTAAAACATGAACATAAAGGGACTACGATGCATCGCCACGAACATGAGTGTTGGAAAAGCCTCAAAAATTAGTGACACAACACGTCCCCGACACTTTAATTATTATTATTATTATTATTATTATTATTATTATTATTATTATTATTATTATTATTTATTTTTATTTTTATTTTTTTGTGCAAAACAAATAATTTTTTAAACCGTGTACAAGGGTTTTTATTTCATTGCTTCAAAAAATGGAAGACTAAATGGCAATGTAATCAAGTAAAAATGTGGGTAGTTCTTTCTTGCTCACCAATGAAATACACATGGGCTTTGACTGTTTTAAAATATGGACCACATTTTCTTCTATTTTTAAAAGGCCCTTTTGAATTTAATTAAAATTTCAGAGATTTAAAATATAAGAAATCCAGTGAATTCAGTTTCTTCTATTACGAAAATTAGGATTTCATCTACGGTTGGGCAACAGATCTGACCACCGATAGCTACCATCGCCAGCAACACCAGACATCGTTGGAACCTGTGACATTCACATCAAACCCCACCCATCCTCCTCCATTCAATTTTGCCAAGTTACTCAATCTTGTCTTTTTCATTTTTAAAATCCATCAGCCATGTTGGACCTTAGGCCAGCCGTGTCAGATGGCGTGTTGGACCTTAGAAAATCAATACAAATTTCTGACACAGCACTTGGCATTTTCGGTGCATGATAGTAAACAAGGTACAATGTTATGACGCTCTACTTGTAACACATTATCTGTAGTAATCAAGCAGCCAAAAAAATAGAGATAACGAAAAGATTAATACTCTTAGTAATTCTGATGATCTCCACCTTCCCATAGCTATTAGAAAAGGCACCAGAACATGTACCCAACACGCTATAGCCAAATTCATGATTTTGGAAAAGTTATCTCCCCCATTCAAAGCATTTGTTACAAAATTAAATCCAATAGATATCCCAAAAACTTTCCATGAGTCACTAAAGAGTAAAGACGGGTGAGCAACTATAAGTGAGAAAATGAGGGCCTTGGATCAAAATATACCAAGGGAAATAGTTGATCTCCCTATAGGAAAAAACCTGTCGGATGGAAGTGGCTATTCAACTCAAAGTACAGGGCAGATGGAGATACACAAGCCTAAATTAGTAGCAAAAGAGTGTACCCAGACATATAGGATATATATCTCGAGACCTTTGTTCCTGTGGTGAAGATGAACACCATTAGAGTGGTGTTGTCTTTAATTGTCAACTTAGATTGGCAAATTGCAATACTTTGATGTAAAAAATGCATTTTTACATGGAGACTTGGATACCACTGGTTATAGATGGAAAATTTGGCAGATGCAAGGTCTACAGATTGAAAAAGGTTCTATATGGACCAAAAGAGTCTCCAAGAGCATTTTTGAAAAATTCACCCATTTAATAGTGAAGTTGAAATATTACCGGAGTCAAGGAAATCACACATTGTTCATAAAACACACTGATCAAAGCAAGGTAACTGCACTAATTGTCTATGTTGATGATATTATTGTGAGTGAAGATGGAAAATTGAAGGGTCATCTTGCAAAGGAATTTGGGATTATTGACTGGGAAGAGTTGAATACTTCTTACGAATTGAAGTAGCTCATTCAAAGAAGGGCATTTTATTCACAACACTAGTACTTATTGGATTTCTTCAAGGAAACTGGAATGCTAGACTACAAACCAGGAGATACTCGGATTGAACATAACCATAGATTGAGAGAAGACAAGGACGACAAAATGGTTGATAAAGGAATGTATCAAAGACTCGCTGGGAGATTAATTGACATACCCCACACTAGAATAGATATAGTTTATGTAGTGAGTGTCATCAGTCTATTTATGCACAATCCTCGGGAGTGAAACATGAATGCAGTCTGTAGAATCCTTAGACACGTAAACACTAACCCAGAGCAAGGAATTTTTCTTCCATAATTTGAAAAACTTGACTTCGAAGCCATACAATGCTGACTCAACAGGTCTATTGTTAACAGAAGATCAAATTTTTAGAAGCCATACAATGCTGAGTCAGCAGGTCTATTGTTAACAGAAGATCAAATTCTAGTTATTGTACCATCTTACGAGGAAACCTAGTTACATGGAGAAGTAAGAAACAACAGGTGGTGGCATCGTCGAGTGCAGAGGCTGAACTCAAATGTCTCAGAATTTGTACACTACCGTGGTTGAACATCATTCTTATAGACTTAAAATTAATATAAAAGGACTGATGAGACTACACTCTGATAACTGGTTAGCAATTAGTATTGCAAACAATCCGGTACAACATGATCACACAAAATATGTTGAAATTGATTGGCGATTTATCAAGGAGAAGACAAACCACATACCATACGTTCCTCTCTAACGGTCAATTGGTAGACTTATGACAAAAGGACTAGCCACTCAACCTTTACAAGAAATTTCGAGCAAGCTGGAAATGGCAAACATCTGTAGTTCAGCTTGAGGGGAAGTGCTCAAGATCTCTTCTTATCGTAGAAAGATATCATTAATTAGGAAGATATTATTGTACTAATTCTCTATATTCTTACCAATTTTACTTCCTTATTTTCTGTCCTAGAATTAAGCTAAATTAGTGTACAGAATATTTTGATTTCTTTTTCCTTTTTTTATCCATACACCACATCTATAAATCCGAACATGTATTACAATAATTATCAAGAACCTAGTGTTTCTTCACACATTTCCATACATGCCTACTTAATAATATCAATTGATGTACGTGTCTTCTCGGGTCAGATGCTTGAATTCTGAACAGACTAATCACAAAATTCTACTTTTCCTGCGAGGCATTGTGTACCTATAGATGGAGAAGATCCCTACTTATAGATAGGTTTTACATCAGAAGGCAAATATATTTTGTCCACCATTTGGGTATTTTCCCACAGTAAATGCATCACCAGTAAGATTTCAAACTAGCGCAAGTTAAAAGAAAGAATATCTTAGAAACTAGCAACCTGTTAGCCGAGACACTTGAATGCTCCATATTGGGAATGAGGCACAGTGATAACTGTGTAATCCTTGTCTCTGTGTTCCAGAAAAAGGTTTTCCAGTAATTGGGATATCATGTGCAGCCTTCACTAAGCTGAGGACCCATATTGATCCATCATCACCGGATCCAATAATACATCTAAAAGCACAAAAAGAGACAAATTGAGCAAGAATGAAATGATTAAGAGACAGGCATATGGAATTGTTTTCCACCAAAGCATATAAAACTGTACCTTGGATCTGGCAGCCAATCCAAACTATAAATCACCCCCTGGACAGGATTAAGGTCCCACAATGGATGGAATGGGTCGCTGCACAGACAGGAGACAGATTATCACAAAATTGATACATCCACCATCAAGGGTGGGTTAAAAATGTCTTTTATGAAAATGCTGTGTTCAGTTTGGTGATAGCATACAATAGTCTTTGCCTTATCTTCAATAAATTTGGAGTCAGCTACATGATCCTTTTTGGCCACTTCTGTTATTTCCTTCCCAGTCTCATCAACGAAAACAATATCATCAATAAATGGTATATAGAAAGGGATCTTATAATGGTAACTTATCAATGACTAAAAGCAAATAATGATCACAGAGCCTTGGTACATGTTTGTGGTAATAGAAATTTCTCAACTACTACACCCACTAAAACTCAACCTTGCGACAACTCATAGAAATTCTTTCTTCTTAGCACCCATCGTAGAGCTTCCTTGCTTCGTTTCTATCAATCTCAGGTAAATAAAGGAGTTAAAAGAAACATTCCCCCTAATCTCCTTGGGTGGTGGTGGTGGTGGTAATTTTTTTTTTTTTTTTTTTTTTTTTTTTTTTTTG